TGGAACTAAGCATAGGGAACTATCGCAAGACGGTATTTTGGAGGGGTTGAGGCAAGAGGAATGTCCAAGACTTCCTTTCAGACCCTAAAGAACAGAAAACATTTCAAAGTCTCAAATGAGCAATTGGAAGAACCTCCGAAGATGATATAGCCCAGGAAAAAGGCTTAGAATGAGGGATTCAGCCTCCAGAATGGTGCTGGAATTACAGGGGTGAATAGAGAGCTTTTTTCTCAGGAGACTTAAATTCTCAACTTGAGCCAAACTTTTTCCTTTTGAAATCCCAAGCCCTACTAAAGTCCCCCATCTCTGGAATAGACAGAACAGTGATGTCAGAAAAGACTTCCACGGATCCCTCGCATGGCATAAAGCTCATTTGCCAGTGGAGAGTTCCAGCGTGCTGGAATGTCGGCTTTGCCCAGATGGGACTGCTCATCGCAAACCCAGCTGTCAGTTTCACCTTAGGAATGTCTGGCTTTAATCCAAACTAGTACTGACCAGTCCAGCCTTTCTCGACAACACCATCATTTCTCTCAGGGGCTGTTTTCCCCCACCATCTGGCAGGGAATTATTTTATTAGCTGAAATACAACGAGGGTTGGGCTCAGGCAGGAGAGGAGAGTGTCCGTGATGTTCTCAGGAAACAAGAAGCTGAACGCTTAGCCTGAGACAAATCCTATTAGCAACAACATGGATCTGTGGAAAGATTCTGTCAGCGACTCTGAGGACAGACAGGAATGTGACAGGAGAGACGTGCCGAAGCTGTCAGGTTAGATGATAAAAAATTGGTTCACTTTCAATTTTCTAGATGTGGGATCAGTGCCCCTATTCTCACTTGCTTTTAGACTCAATGAGAGAGTGATGCCAGCCCAGAGGTTGGCAGAGCCCTCCCAAACCAGAAGTGTTTGCTTTTTATTTTGTAATTAAAATAGAGCTGCGGTCTCAGCATGGGAGATTCTACCTCCTGGGAGGCATTTTGGAAAGGTATGGGATGGTGATGGTGTTGTCCCAACAGTGGTGGCAGGGCACGATGGATATTCAGAGGGTGAGGTCCATGCGGCGAAGAGGACAACTTCAGCCCATGCAGAATTGCCCCACTTCCTGCTTGACTTTCTAATGTGCCTCTGGACACTAAATAGATGAAAAACTTATTTGTAAACTCTATTTTCCCCATGAACAAAAGTTGTTTTTCACGGTCTTAATTTACATCGAAATTTCTATAAACTAAATTGTAAATCTCACCTTATTTAATTCAGCACTTCTTGGGCATTTCAGAAAACCCCATCACTGGTGGCAATGCCCCTCAAAGTATTTGAGTCCTCCATAAGTCACGTCTGTGGCAGTTGGCTTCTGGAGGCATCCCATTCACGATTATTCTAGATTATTCAGGAGCAAGCATCTGCCTACTTCATCACGTCTTCTGTATTCACAGTCAAGCAGTTACATACTGAAATACCTATTATTTTATATCAATTACTTCCTTTCATTCTCCTTGATAATAGAGTTAGGGCGTTATATTAAAATTTTATGAAATTATGTGTGTGAGTGAGTTACATAATCTATGAATTTTATTTCAAGACAGTAAAGGGGATGTCACAAAAGATTAGTTATAAAAAGAGAGCATTGGGTCTGACAGGGTTGAGAACCATAGAAATACAATGAAACAACATTATGAAAGAAAATTTTGAAGACGGAAGAGATCACCCTCGTAAGCCATTTTCAGTTTTTCAATATTCCTTCCCAGTCGTCTTGCCCACACATGCCCAGTTTTGAATAGTTGCTATTACACTTCTCATAACTACATACTGTCATGTGCCACATAACGACGTTTCGGTCAACGACAAACCCCATGTATGATGGTGGCTATACCATCTGGGTCTGTGTAAGTACACTCTGATGTTCACGCAAAGATGAAATCACCTAACGATGAATTTCTCAGAACCTGTCCCCTTTAAGTGATGCATGACTATATTTATAGTTGCAGTTAAAGGGTGGCTATTTGTAGCCACGCTTTAAGGAAATCCATTTTATGGATGTGGAAACTGAGGCTCAGAGAAGTTATGCATCTTCACAGATTTTATGAGTAGCTGAGCCAAGTTTTCACTCGAACATTCCTTCTGAAATGGGCTTCTCCCAAAGCAAAGTCTGCTTTCAGAATAACTGTTCACTTTTGCTGGTGCAAATGATCTTTGGATAAGAATAACAGAGACCAGAGGAGATGGAGAAGAAAGAGGGAAAGGTGGAAAATAGAGGAGGGGAAGGTGATGGATAAGAGGGATGGAGAAGGTAAGGAGAGAAAGAGAGGAGAGAGAGAAAGAGAAGGAAGGGAACAGTGGATGGAGAGGGAGTGGATGAGTCAGGGAAGGAGCTGGCGACGGGGGAGATGAGATGCAGAGGGGAAGAGATGGAGGAGAAGGTGGCCAGGGAGGAGGAGGAAGAAGAGAAGAAGGAAGGAGGAGAGATGGGAGTGTGGAGGTGGAGGAGGAGGGCAAGACCTAGAAGAGGAATCCAGTCTCTGCTCTGCTATTGCGGGGACCGTAGGCAAGTCACTTCTCTCTGTGTCTGCTTTTCCATTTGCGTGTCTGCTTGACCAATTGCAGGAGGTTGTAGAGAGGCCAAGAGCACACCAGATGGGAGAGAACTCCGGAAAAGTTCACGGGCCTGTCACAAAAGTGGAAAGCGGCGTGTTCTAGCTTCCTCACAGAGACCTCCCTGCTGGACCCTCCAGACCCTGCGAGCCCAGTTGTGTGTGTCTGTATGTATCCTGTGTGGGCCTTCTCTGACATCTCCACCCACACAGAGGTAATTTTGGAGGAAGCGACTGAAACCCATCCATCGCCAAGCAACTCCTCTGCTATGATTTCTCCCTAGTCTACTGTCACTCTCATGCTACGCGACAGCCTTGGCCAGACCAGAGGGATGTATGAAGCATTTGTCATTGAGGCCCATTGAATTTTATGAGCGATTTTCTCCTTTGTTAGCAATTTCACATTGCATATTAGCATTTGTTTTCATATCATATTAGTATTCATCACAAAAGGCTAATCTCATTAGCACTTTTCACATTATATTAGAGAAAACAAATAATCGCCTGGTGCCCATGCGCCACAGCAACAAGGATGGCCTTTTCATCTGCTGCTCTTCTGTTTACTCCCCATCTGCCCCACCTCTCTGCAGGGCTACCTCCAAACAGGGAAAAACTCACGGATTGAGACTCTGAAGCACTCTGAGCTATTCCAGAGCTGGGATTTGCTCTTCTAGAAATTTCCATTCATTCAGTTAATATTTATTCAGCGTATACCTGTACTGGGTTTTTTGCTAAATGCTGGAGATACAGTGGGGAATAAGACTGTATGAAAAAAAAGGCAAATAAATGTTTTCCTCAGATTACAGTAATATGTAAACAAATTTAAAGGAACGTTTAAGCAAACTTTTTTAGAGCACTTGATAGCTGTTCAATTGTCAGCAAAATTGATACGCCAGTTTCACTGTTTCCTCCTTGATCTGTTCACTAAAGCAGGTCCTTTAACGATCTCTCCCAGGCAACATTCTATTAGTCTAGTGTGCCTAGTTGAACCAAACAAGAAAACAGTCCTGCATTTTCAATATATTTCATAGTTCAAGATTTTCCTTATTCTTGATTTGTTTCTCAACAAGTAAGGTATTTTCAGCATTTTAAGGTTTACACATGTAGATATTTAGAGCATGCACAGAAAATTTAAATAGTTTTTATTTCTGTTTTTTTTCCTTTGATGAGGAATATTGGCCCTGAACTAACATCTGTTGCTAATCTTCCTCTTTCTCTCCCAATCTTTCTCTATTTTATGTGGGACACCACCGCAACATGGCTTGATGAGCAATGTATAGGTGTGTGCCTGGGATCTGAACCCACGAACCCTGGGCCAACGAAGCAGAGCACACAAACTTAACCACTACACCACCAGGCCGGCCCCATATAATAGTTTTTATTTCTTAAAAAAATGAGTCTACTTTCTTATATTTTCAGATTATTCTCAAGGTAACGTTGACCCCTCCTCACTTACTAGGTTCAGATATTGAAATTATCACAATTTCTGGTAAATGCCTCATTTACCAAAGGAATGGCTATTCAAAACCTGACCTTCAGTCCTGGGTATGTCTCTTGTGGGTCCCCATAACTAGAGAGATAAAATGTAAGGATGGAAGACAGAGACTTTGTAAACAGTAAAGTTGTCTACAAATGTGCAGGGCTGTGATTACGAATTACAAGTAGTTGTCTCATGCCAGAGAAAAATATGAAGACAAGGCATCTTAAATACTTTAGTGCAAAGGAAATCTTCAGCTGTCTGGTGAAGCCTATGGACCCCATCTCAGAAAAATTAGGTTTTTAGATGCATCAAATGAAATACATAGCAATTCAAAAGAAACATTAAATTGCACTGTAATCATCACAATAATTTTAAAAATTGGGATAAACCAATATATGAGGTTCTTTAAAAAGAATTTTTTTAATGGAAAACTTCATCCAGTTGAATGCCTAGCTGCTCCAGGAATGACTTGCACACTGGGGGAGCTTTGTAAAGAAATCACTTATTCTTAACATAGATCAAGGTAAAGGGAGACCTGGTCCATAGAGGTGGTAAGGTTGATGACGATGATGATGATGATGACATAAGTGTATAGAATGACCTTTTGGGCCTCAGTTCTTCACTCCTCTCTATATCATATGTCTCTTGCCATAAAACTTTGCAATTCCTCTCACAAAAGGGAGGGTGTATTTTTCTACTCCTTGACTTTGGGCTCAACCATGTGACTTGCTTTGGCCAATGGGATATTAGCAGACATGACACAGGATGGACTTGAAATGCGCTTGTGTAGTGGGGCAGACCCTCTGTGTCTCTGCCATCACCCTGAGGAGAGCTTCCCCTGGGTAGCTACTTCCCCTTCAGCCTGGGCCCCAGAATAAACACGTGAGGATCAGAGCCACCCTATCCTAAAGTGGAGTATGATTGTATCCCTTTGAGATTTTTGTAGATGTTTGTTATGCAGCAATAGCTGACTGATGCATGATGATGAGGGCAATGATGATAATAATAAATGTATCTACTTCCGTTTATAGAGAGTTCATTTTAATAATATTGAAGTCACAGAAAGGACAAGGGCCGTGGGTTGTGAGGTCTGACTTGGTTCGAATCCAGGTTCTGCAACTTGCTGTGTGATTAGGGCATTGAAGCTATCTGTGTCCTCATCTGTAAAATAAGAATAATACTTATCTTCGAGTGTAGGCATGAAGAATAAATGAGATGATGCCTATTAGGTGTCTGGTATCAAGGAAGTACTCAATAAAACAAGAAGGAAGGAAGGAAGGAAGGAAATTGGAAGGAAGAAAGGAAAGGAGGAAGGAAGTTTGTGAAAACAGAAAATTCACCTGGAATTGAGGGCAAAGGTTCGCAGCTCACACTTCGCCTGCCCCTGAGTTCTTTCCACCCAGCCTAGACTCAGAGAAGGATGCTGTGCCATCCTCCCTGGGCCTCCCAAGGCATAAAGCATTTCCAGCAGTACCATGCCAGGTGTTCAATGCTTTCACAGGCTTCTCTTCCTTTCAAACCTGTTGCCACATGAATAGAGCTCCCGTATTGGCAAAAGACTGGCAGAAAGAATGAGGAAGGGGGGAAAAAATCCACTCTGGTGTACTCTCACTGGGAAATTATCCCCTGCCTTTGATATATTAAAATTGAAGAGCTGTAAATGCCGGTTGTCATGGTGACACTTTGCATGCCGCCCTGCGATTGGTGGTGTGAGTTCACTTTCCTCTGGGTGTTGCAGCCTAATTAACTGTTATTTTTGTCAGTGTGGAGGAAGAGCCCACACTTGGGGTTTTGGGTGGTGATTGCAGCCCCTGTGGACTGAGTTAATTTTCATAGACTACAGAGAAATGGCTGGGCCCCAAGCATATTTAGAGTCTCAGGAAAGTTGCCAGCGTTTAAGTAAGAGTCAGGGCAAGGATTAGAGCCCCCCTCCCCCACTTCTCTCGTTGGCAATTTCAATTTCTCTAACAATCGCAAAACTTATTTGGTTTGGAGAGGGGATAATAGGCAGTTGTTAACCGACACCAAGAATCAACCCATTGTTCCTGGTTCCAGCTGACTTTGCCTCCCCCACCAGACACGCATGCACTTGTGTGCCTGTACGCACTGGAATGTTTCATTTTGCACCGTCATCCCATATAGGATGGTATTGCACATTAACAGTCTGCAAGCGAGGCTAGCAGGGACATGCGAAAGCCATTTGATCTATTTCTCTATCTCCATATCCAACGATGTAATTATGCCAGCCAACTTGGGGGATCCAGCCAATTCTCTAAAGACCTCCAGGAAGGGAATTCCATGTCGCCACAAGCCTGAAAACCAGAAAGTTGTCTTGCTGCAATTTAAAGCAATTTGTTTCCAATTTTGATTCTTAGATGAGCTGAAGTCAACCTGTTATAATATGAATTGCTCAACTCATATCCTCTCTCTTTTTTTTTTGCTTCCTGCCATGTGTTTTTAAAAATTGAAGACTCCCTTCTCTTCAGAGGAAAGCAAATTTTGCCCTACTGTAACATGGGTTCCATTCTTAGGAGAAATTAAGCTCTTCCTGAGGGGCCAGTGGTGGGGAGCAGTTGATAATATGGCATCTGTGTTGCCGGCTAAAAACGTAGAAGACATGGGTGGAAACTTGAAGTTAACCTGGGAAGAGGAAAACAGGAGAAGAAACACTGGATTGGTGCCCTAGATGCATTGAATGTAACCCCACAAAGCTGTCTTAGGAAGTATAGTAGGCATTTTAAAATTCTTTTTGACCACTCTTCTCCTTTGCATGACTTCCTTTGTTGGGAGATTTCTCCACTTTATGGCAGAAGCTTACAACTCTCTTTCCAGCAGCTCTTGCAATGAAGGCACAGCCATATGGCAAAGACTCCGCCAACCAGGCATTCCCGTGCAAGACTTTGAAATGGACGCTAGTTGCCACAAGGAATCCACTCTGGAGAAAGGGGCAGCAGGAATGCTTAGCTCCCAGGGGCAAGAAGGGAAGAGATGCTTGCAATAGCAGCCCATGCCCAGTGCCAGCAGTTGGACCAGGATGTCTGGGCCAGGGTAGCCACAGTGGGAACTCCACTTGCACAAGGCTACAGTGTCATTTCAGCGATGCTCCTGAATCCATGGCCTCTAAGCCAGGGTCTCTGGAGATTCTGTGAGTGTGCATGAATAAATAATAATGAATAATAAAGTGTCCTTTAATAAAATCTGTGTGCATGCTTGTGTGTGTGCATACACGCATGTGCACATGCACACATGTGTGTGTTTGATATAGCTTATTGGGGGTTAGAAGTAGAATGAGGCTGCCCCAAGGAATTCTTTGGAGAGAGAATATACATCAGTTCCCTCATGAAACAGGTCCTAGCTCTCATCCAAGAGACCACGTTTGGGATTATTTTTGACACTCTAACAAACAGAGTGTTACTCAGCCATCGTGATCTCAAACTAATAGTTAAATCAAATTTGGAAAAGCCTCACTTCTTGGACATGAGGGTTTTCTCAATCCAGGGAACTTGAGCTTGACGCTGAGTTGGGCTCAATCATATGCTCCTTGCTGTAGAACTGATGACTTGGCTGACGAGCCCGAACCTTCCCCAGGCATGTTGCATATCTGTCTGGATCTATCAACTCTAACACAGGGCAGCTCTTGCTGATGTGAGTGACGTACAAGGATGGAGCTCACTCAGATGAGGATGTCTTGCCAGCTTTCCTTGTCACTCATAAGTTGCATGTGTGTAGACATCGTCCAGCTTCAGAGGAGGGCGGCTCAAGTGCGTCAGACATCACATGAGCAGAGATGGAACACATCCCTTTTTGCTTTCTTCTAACTGAGATCAAAGATGCAGATAAGGCTTCAGAGATGTCTTGGGAGAAAGGAGACCTTGGGTGTTCTTAAAGCATCAGTGACATTGGACGAGGCCATGGCCCATAGTGGTAATAGGCTCAGTGGTGGCCTGACAAAGAGAAGAGGTAATAACATCCTTGCCTCGTTAAACTAACCAGTGATTTCTGTGCTGTCACCTAAGAGGCCTAACTGAGGCAGGAGGACTTGGTTGCCTGTGTTTTATTGGAATACATACTCATTTATTTACATTTTGTCTTTAACTGCTTTTGCACTGCAATGGCAGAGTTGAGTAGCTGCCACACAGACTGTTTGGCTCACAAAGCCTAAAATATAAACTCTCTGGCCCTTTACAGAATTTGCTGATCCTTGGCCTAGGGCATGGGCACTCAAAGTGTGGTCCGGGGAATAGCAGCATCCAGGAGCTTATTAGAAATGCAAATAGGATGCACAGACCTACTGAATCAGAATCTCTGGGGGTGGGGCCATGAATTTGTGTTCTAAGAAGCCCTCCAAGTAATTCTCATGCACACTTACCTTTCAGAAGCACTGTTCTAGAAACTTGTCCTGCATATTGCACAGAAATCTGTCAACTTGAAGAAGATGTGGTGTTTCTAGTTCTATCCCTGAAACTACCCAAAGCAAACTTAACGCTTCCTTCTCCCAATGGCCCTCAAGAGATCTGAAGGGTCTCCTCATTCTCCAAGCTCTTTTCTCTCTCCTTGATAAAGAGATTCACTTCCTACAAAGGTTCTCCATCCATCTCTGCATCCTTTTCATCCTGGCCACCTAAGAGGCTTCAGTTCATCAATGCTGCTCTCACTGTGTTGCCTGAACTCGAAACCATAAGATATTTTTGCAGAACTAACATAAATGCACTCTCATGTGGAGAGCAAATAGCAGAGTGCTTAAGTACTGGGACCATGGAATCCGACAGATGGATTTATACCCTGGCCTTGCCCTATTCGAGCCATGACCTTGGCCAAGTTACTTAGTCTCTCCAGCCTGTGAAGTGAGCAACATGATTATAGCATCCACCTCATGGGGCCATTAGGAGAGTTAAATGAGATAATGCACAAATAGCTGGCTCTTGGTAAATGTCAAAAGAATGATATTACCAACCAGTGTCCCATCACAAACTTTTTACCTGTTTAGTTAGAGCTGTGTCTAAGCCAAAAGGGGAGCAGTAACTGGCCAGCTGCCTTTGTAGACAAGCCTTTGTCTGTGGTCCTACCGTCATGCAGGACATCACCAGCTCTCCATGTGTCTCCAAAGTCCTTAGCTTCCTTTCCATGATTTAAGATTTTCCAGTTGTAATTTTATTCTGTTGCCTTTCCCTGGTTGTCATTCAGCACCTTCAGTTCCATTTGACAGTTCAACAATTATTGGGTACCTGCTGTATGCCAGGATTGCACTAAGCATGTGGGAGATAGAGGTAAACAAAAGGACTTTATTCATGAGAATATCTCAGTGTAGAGCAGGGTTTAGCAGAAGAACCCTTGCTTCCAGACAAGGTCTTATGCAGAAATGCATTGAAAAGACACACGAAAGTGGGGACCCTCTGGTTGAAGCCAGGAGGGGGTCTGAGCTCTCCTGCCTGAGATTCCTCCTGAATCCCACTCCCCAAATCCCTCTAAAGGATCCTAAGGAATCCTCCCAGAGCTCCAGGTACTTGTAAAAGAAAATTGGGAGACCACTGGCCCATGTGGTATGGAATGTGGGAATCAGACAGAGCTGGGCTGTTAAATCATTTCTTCTTATGGGTTCTGTCTCTCTCTCAAGAAGCTGAAGGGAAACCTTTCTGGTTCTTCTCTAATTCTGTGTTTCCATTTCTGAGCAAACCTCTCTAGCTTTCCCTCCTATCTTCTGTTCCCTTCTGTGTCTCTCCTCAAATCACTCTGTCTCCTAAACCCTCAGCATCCAGAGGAGCTGGGAGGCAGGAGGCTTCACAAGCTTAGTGGGCAACTGTTGGTTTTGTCTGGTCAGCCTCTCTTTCCTCTTCTGGTCACAACACCCCAACTGTCCCAAGAGAACCCACCACTTTTCTTCTGCGCTCAGAGCACATCGTGCTGGTAGTGATGACTTCATCCATAACGCCACCAGGAAGCATGTGACTCAGCCTGGCCAATCACAGCACCACACCCTCAGGTCTCAGTGATTGGTTGAATTTTGGACAGGTGACCCAATCAGAGCTGAGGCTATTAAGAGAAGAGCAAAAGCTTTTCTGCTGGGCATGAGCGGTGAGGGTATAAGCCTGGTTCTCCCAGAGCATGGTGTAGCGGGTATACCTACACCGTGTGTAGGTCTAAGGGAGATCCTTCACCAGGGTTGCACTTGGTCAAGATTTTGCATTCATCCTTGAAAAGATAACCCCCCACAACATTAGCTCTATGTTGTTTAGTAGGGAAGAAGGTGGTCTCTGAAGTCAAGCAGATCTGGTCTCCACTCCTGCCTCTGCCAATCACAGCCTACTTGGGCAAGTCACTTAGCTCTCGGAGCCTCAGTTTCCTCATCAGTAATTTGGGGGTCCCAGCACTTTTGTCATTGATTGTTATGAGAATTTAATGATGTCATGAAGGTAATGTGCTTTATCACAGTACCTGGTCTCTAGTATACATTCTAAAATGTCATTATTAGCTCAAAAAAGAAAAACCCAGAGTAGATAGCCAGGCTCTAGAAGACCATGCATTTTCCATGGGCTTCAGACGAATGCTACAGCAGGTGGGGGAATGGGAAATCGGTTTATGCTAGCACCTAGAAAGAAAAGGGATGGGGAGGGGGCAGTGATGACAGGAATATAGAACTTTAAGAAATGGCTTAGTCTTCAAAGAGCTGCGCTCCTTAACAGTAGCCATTTTATGCTTGACTGTCAGCTTTGACGAGCTGGAAGTGGCCAATCTCGGCAGACGGGCAGATAGTGTGGCTATCACATTATCATGCTGTAAATTAACATTTCAACATGAAACTGGTATTGAAATGCAGCTCAAATCAATTCCACTACGCCCTCTTCAGTCTTGCCTGGCAATTATTGCCCTCTGATTCTCAGGGAGCAACCAAAGAACCTAACTGGCCTCGACTCCATTTTTGTTGTCAGTAGGAGAAAAAGAAGAGGATTCTGCTCATGCCCAAGTAATAACTTGAAACGATGGTGTTATTCGTGCCAGTGGCTGGCTCTTTGTTGGTGTCATTGTTCTTTCACTCTTGGTCATTGTTATTGCCTTCTGTTGTAGACTCATGCCGTGTTTGAAATCGCACCCACTTTCATTTCTCCTCTGCTTTGAAGGGAACAGCTATGCACAGCCCACCAGTGGAGAGACTTTCTTCCTCTATCATTTTAGGCTACATTACAACAGAAGTTGCATGACTCCCAAAGATGCTTTGACTTTAAAGTTCTTGTGATCTATTTGTGTAACACACATGTTAAATTAGAAATTCATTTGTCACTCCCAGATAATATTGTTCAGAATGGCGCTTCCTGCGTGAATCATTATCTTAGGCCTGGAGTTTTTCTACTAATGAATATGCATGAGCCCAGAGAGGGGGAAGCGAAATTTGCACAACCTGTTTCCTGGAGGAGTCTCAGATGGTTCGGCTCAGTGTTCTGAGTCTGAGCTTCCAGAGCCAAACCCAGCATCTGCCTCACCACCCACAGCTCGTCCAGTCTTCTCTGAACACCTGCTCTCTGTCGACAGTGAGTGCCCAGTGACAGCGGGGAGCCCACGCGGTCAGGGAAATACTGGTGCTTGTTCATTCGTGAGCCATGAACTTAGCAGAGGGTTAGAAGGCAATGGAAATGGAAGTGGCCTCACGGGGTCCTTCAGAAATTCCAGCTGGAGAATTGAGAAACCAAGAGAGATGCCTGCTGGCTCTGCCTCCAGGAGGCAAGAATCCAAAATAGGAATCTAAAGAGTGATTAATTTCAACGAGAGACGAGTGCTGGATGGTGACTGCAGTTGTGGTGAGCGAAGGAGGCTCTTCCCAAACGAACTGTTGAACATCATGTAAAGGAAAGACGGGAATGCGCCACTGTGAACTGAGCTGCCCCGGGGTCCCGTAGCAGCTTGGCCACATCTGCAGGATGTCGTGACATTAGTTCTTTTCTCAAGATCTAGGTTTCGGTCTCCAAGACAGCACTTATTTCCTGCCACAAAGGATGGTTCTTCAGAATACCTCATCCCAGTTGGATGGATTTTATGTCCGACCAAAGTTTCTAGATGCTGAAGCTCTCTCTCGTATCCTCTGCAGTGATCGAAAGAGGTGATGTTTACGGATTCGCTACTCTGTTCTGGGTACCGCACCAGATATGATTACAATCATTCTTGAGATGTATGACTGTCCTCTCTCCTCAGCCAGAGCATCCCTTGCTTTGGGAAGGATTGGGGTAGCTATGGCATAGACACAAAGAGAAAGGAGCAACGTCCAGCTTTTGACTTCCACAATAGGCTCTTACTGCCCATCAGGAGACAATAGTGTCTCTCTCGAGACATATTAGGGCACTCCAGAGAACTAGAACTTATATATATGTCCTATAATAAGAGATATAGCTACATATATAGATATATGTCCTATTGGTTTTGTTTCTCTGGATAACTCTATACATATATAGAGAGAGAGGGAGAGAGCTTTATTATAGGAATTGGCTCATGTGACTATGGAGGCCCAGAAGTCCACCACCAGCCACCTGCCATCTGGAGACCCAGGAAAGCTGGTGGTGTAATTCCATCTGAGTCCAAAGGCCTGAGGACCAGGGGAGCTGATGGTGTAAGTTCTAGTCCAAATCTGAAGCCAATCCCCCAGCCGATGTCTGAGGGTAGAAGAAGATGGATGCGCCAGCTCAAGCAGAGAGAACAAATTCCCCTTCCCTCTGCCTTTCTATTCAGGCCCTCAACAGATTGGATAAGACCCACCCACATTGGCGAGGGTGATCTCTGCTCAGTGTACCGATTCCGAGGCTAATCTCTTCCAGGAACACTCTCCCAGACACACCCAGACACAATGCTTCAGCAGCTATCTGGGCCTCCCTTACCTACCCGGTCAACTTGACCATAAAATTAACTGTCACAGTGGTCACTCTGCAGTGGACACCAGCACAGGACACCTAAGGTCAAGACAGGACCCAGAATCCCACAGTGAAGGCAGGGAGGACAGAGGAGAGCAGTGGACAGAGACCATTTCACCTTGGCTTTGAAACACCTGAACTGCTTTATGAGCCCAGACACCACCTTCAAAAGGTGGAGGAGAAAGAGTCCCGGAGAGAGGCGTTCAACTGCCCTGAGAGGGCTTGGAATGTTGACCGATTCTTTTGCCAAGGCCAAGTTAACGTGAAAAAACCATGCAAAATCAGTATCTCTCACGCTCTTGACCCAGGCATCAGCCCACACCCAGGCCAGGAGTCGGTATCTGAGCACCAGGAAATCGATTATGAAAATGGAGGAGGATGCACAGACCTTTCGCTCATGTGAAGTCGAGAGAGGAAACTCCACATCTCCTGCGTGTGGGGGCTGGTCCAGGGTTTTAGAGGTTCCCAGAGCAGCACACTCCTGCCAGGCAAGGCCAGAAGTGTGGTCTGTCGATGCAAAGCTGCTGGTTTTTACAACAGCATGTAATGCTGGACTGGGGAAGGTGACAGTTACTGTGCACGGCATGCAACTGTCTTACTGGAGTTACCGGCCTGGAATGTTCTCTTTTGCTTTTTCATTCTTCCACAGCCAGCCCTGGAGTGGCCTTTGGTCTAACGGACGAATGACAAGGACAGAGATCGTTAGACTCGAACGTGGGAAAAGGCCCATGAGAAATCTTCCAGGAGGCTCTGTGCAGCACAGAGAAGGAGCAACTCCATCTGCCAAAAGGAAATGAGAGCGCTTGGTGGCAGAAGGGGCGTTCCAAAGGACACATGTGCTACATCCTGGCTACCCAATGTGTGGTCCGTGGACCCACAGCATTGGCATCACCTGGGAGCTTGTTGGAAATGCAGAATCTCAGATCCTATCCTACATCTACTGATTTCAATTCTGCATTTTAACAAGACCCAGGTGATTTATATTGAAGTTAAAGGTTGGACAAAATAACAAGGCTGGCACTCTACTATGAAGTAAGAGCCTGGGGACCCTTGGGCCCCCACAACCCCTCTGTGATCCAGCAGGAAGCAGCTACAAGCCCACTGGCCCACCCTACTCTGGGCTCCCAGAGCCTGGGCTGTGTCACAACTTTTCCAGGACATAATCCACTAAGAGTCCCCGAGGCACGAATGCACCAACTGTGAAAATCAGATTTTCCTTTAAATCAAGCCTTACAGAGTGTTTAAAATAGACTTAGAAATGCCAGGAGTCCACCTGCTAAGGAAGATGAAACAACCCCGAGCCAAAGAAGAATTTGTCAGAGGGAGAAAGAGATCCCAACACTATGCCCAAGACCAAGAGATGGAGAGAGAGTGAGAGCCAGGTGTGGGGGGAGGGCGAGAGAGGCAGCCACGGGGAGGGAGGAACAGAGAGGGAGAAGTGGGGACAGAGAGGGGTTGGAGGGGGCAGGGTGGTTAGAATCAGAACAGAAACACAGAGGAGAAGAAAACCATCAAGAGATCTTGTTAGACCCACTCTGCTCACTGGTGCCACCTGGAGCCCATCAAATAAGGACATGGGGAGATGCTTCTCTGGTCCAGAACCCAAGGCCCATTTGACTCACTTTCAAAGAGGCTTTCCCCTCATTTCCAGCCACGGCCACCACCCCAACCCAGCAGGCACCTTCCCAAATGCACCCTCAGGTTATCCTGTGACTTCTGTGCACGCTGCTGCCGCCTGGCATGCCCTTCCAGCCTTACCCCGGGCAACTCCCATGCATTCTTCAAGCCCCAATTCCAACACCTGTCATTGTCCCAACCAGCTTCAGACAGAATGACCTGCTCTGTCCTTGACGCATCATAGCAACTCCTCTGATCAGCTCCTCAATGGGACCACTTATCTCCAGTACTGCTTCTTATTTATTTGTATGTCTCCTCTATCAGACATGAGTGACTCCTTGAGGACGAGGGGTGATATCTTAATCAATTCTATAGCTCTGGCACCTGGTGTATGCTTTGTCACAGAGTTAGCCCTCAATAAGTGTTGGTAGAGTAGTTTTATTCTTTCTGAGAGATATTGAAAGAAAATAGCATCACAGGCTCAAGTTAGTGCAATCTTCCTTAGAGAAAATTAGTAGAGGCCACAGTCTAGGCTCCGTAAGACCAATATGCGATTAAAAACAATACGCACTACCAGTCTCCATTTCCATGCCAGTGGCAGACATCATTAATCAATCAGGGCACTCTTTCCCACTGAGCCAAAATGCGACCTCAGAATCTTTCTCAACACCATTTTAACCCAGTCAGACATTGCCAATCAATTGGAGTTAGCTTATTGATTTCCATCATCCGGATACTCAGAAGAACTCGTAAAATTGATTCTGTTGGGTAAAAATAATATTTTTATGTGCTATGAGCATTTATGAACACATGCATATATCCATGTTTATAATAATTACTGATAACTGCCAAAAGGAAATTATTGATTTTTGTGCAAAGTGCTATCTATACATTATCTCAATTAATCCTCAAACAACCCCATGAGTCTGGTACCATTATTACTCCCAATTTACAGATGAGAAAACTGAGCTTCAGAAAGATTACATGACCACCCAACAGTAGTAAATAGAGTGAAAATTTAAAGTCTTGTTTGTCTGACGTCAAGATCAATGTTTTTAACAATGATCCTATAGAGGATAAAAATCTTCAGTAGGAAAAACAATTAGTAAATTCCATGGCTTCCTATTTACACTTTTTTCCTATGTGGTTGTTATCATTGTTGTTGTTCATCATTTCTTCATTTTCTCATCAACTTTTTTTTTGGTGAGGAAGATTGGCCCTGAGCTAATATCTGTCGCCAATCTTCCTCTTTTTGCTTGAGGAAGATTGTCACTGAGCTAACATCTGTGCTCATCTTCCTCTATTTTATGTGGGATGCTGCCACAGTGTGGCTTGACAAGCAGTGCTAGGTCCATGCCCAGGATCCAAACCTGTGAACCCCGGGCTGCCAAAGTGGAGCATGTGAACTTAACCACTTTGCCACCGGGCCGGCCCCGTCACCAACTTTTTAAAGTCACATCAGAGAGCCCGATTCAGTCATCCCTTCCGTGTGTCTACAACTTTGAAACCAGGTATAGGATTTTGCCCATTTTATAAATTTGTCGTCATCATCACAGTTATCACTTACTGAGAGCTTGCCATGTGCCCGGTGCTGTGCTAAACATACGTGGATTACCTCACCTCATCCTGAGTAGAACCCCGTGTAAAAGGCTGAGTAACCACTTATCAGATGCAGAAACTGAGGTTTCAGAGGATTTGTAACCTGCTCAACACCGCACAGCTGGTAAGAGCCGGAGTTTGAACTCAGGCCATGTGACTCCACCTCCTGCATCCCCGACCCCCACCTGGTGCCTCCATTTGGTCCTGATACAGCTCTCACCCTGACACATAGCCATAAACACGCAGGAAAAAAACCAAACATATCATATTCCATAATGCATACAAACCAGTTTATTTTTACTTCCTGGTAAAATTGTTCCCCAGCACTGACTTACTTAGCAAAATGGTGGGTTTTTCTATCCCATCTTTTTACTTTAGTTAAACTAATTGCCGTTCTTTGTCTATAATTTTCGAATTCCCATTTTCCACTTCAAATCTTCCATGCAAGTCAGTGTTGACAAGGGGAAGAGACCTTAATAGCTACTGTAAGTGGGCCTCTTCCATCTGGCGTTCTCTCTCCACCTGCCTGGTGGGCGGGGCCATCGCAGCCTGATCATTAAGTTCCACGGTTCCGTGCCATTCAGCTTCAGAACACTCTGCTCTTCTCCTCAACAGGAAAACTACATTTTGGTCTTTCCAGGGAGCTTCGGCTGGCTGAGGGCAAGAAGCTGGAGGCTGGAGTGGCTGAGCAGAGGCGGAAATCTTGGGTGGGGAATGGAAACCCAGCCTCTGTGAGAATTTGCAGAGAGAAGAGAGCACGAGGGCTTCTGGAGCGCCGCTTTATGCTAAATGCATCATTTATGAGGTTACCAAATAAAGCAACCATGACCTCTCTTTTCCTCCTGTCTGCTGGAGTGGCAGCCAATCACTTCTTAGCCCTTCTGCTGATCTTGTGCAAAGAGGCAATGTAGCAGACCAGCTAGGTCCAAACCCAGCTTTGCTCTTTCCTAGCTGTGTGACCTTAGAAAGGTAGGCCAGCCTCTCTGGGCTTCACGTTCCTCATCTGTGAAATAGGGATAAAGAACTGATAACAGTGCAAAGAGCTTAAACCAGTTTCTGCCACATTGAAAGCTCCATGTGAGTGTTAGTTATAAATATGAGACATATTTATACCCCTGGCTGATGGAACATGTCAGAACTGTAGATACCGAAGGACGGATGAGAATTGCAGCTTCCAGGGAAAGAAACAGAAGTCTCCCTTCCACCGTGGCAGCTTCTGAGCAGGAGGAGTCTAAGGGTCCTTCATCCTCCTCCCAAGGACATATCTTCCTCCTGCCCTTAACTGGTCCTCACCTCTTACTTCAAATGACAAAGGTGGGTAATAAGAGTGTGTCCAGTCACATTACAGTATTAGCTTCCATTTTCTAATGGCCTGTGATGTTCCAGACACTAGGATAGGCAATTCGTGCATCCCTTCCCCCTCCCGGCAAGCGGGCGGGGTGCATATTAGCATCTCTGCTGGCTGGGGAGGTGCAAGCACGTTAAGGACCACGCCCAGAGGTGCAGGGGCAAACGGCAGCACTTGGATTCAAACCCAGTTCTGTCTGATTTCAACTCCTGAGCTTCCCTTTATGGATTTCCCTGAATGGGGAGCCTGAGACATGAGCATGGATGCAGGTAATAGGTTTGGGAGGTGACTCAGGAGCCAGGAGTAAGAGAGAGGAGAAAGTGAGATGGGGAAGGAGGGAAAGACAGCAAGAATGTGCCACGGGGCCGTTACCACGGTGGGCAGGCAGGGCACAGTCCTGTGAAGACCCTCCGCGGACCCATGGAGTCTGTGCCTCACCTTCATCCCGGGAAGCTGGGATCTGGCCATTTCTCCACCGACCCCCATTGCTTGAGGACGGATGCCCCAGACACCACCTCCCGCACACAGCCGGGAAACTTCTGCCCACAACTGAGCCGCCTCGATCAGAGACAGCCTGGGCGGGGCTAGAAGAGCAAGGAGGTACCTGCAGTTTGTACCTGAAGTGAGACACCTGGAGCGTGGATGCAGCTGTCCACCTCTGAAACCAGGTGTGCCAAAGGAGCCGGGCTCTGGGCACAGAGAGTGTCTGTGAACGGTGCCTGCTCACACAGCGTCGGTGGATTCCCGGGTGGCCTGTACTGAAGTTTGCACCTTCTGAGGGGACGGTGCTGCTGTAGACTGAATGTTTATGTCCGCTCAAAGCTCATAGGTTGAAACCTAGCGCCTGATATGATGGTGTTAGGAGGCGGGGCCTTTGGGAGGTGATGAGGTCATGAGGGTGGGGCCCCCATGAATGGGATTAGTGCCTTTATAAAAGGGACCCCAGAGGGCTCCCTCCCCCCTTTGCCATGTGAGGACACAGCAAGAAGACAGCTGTCTGTTGACCAGGAAGCAGATGCTCCCCAGACACCGAATCTGCAGGTAGCTTGACCTTGGACTTCCAGCCTCCAGAACGATGAGAAATAAATTTCTGTCCTTTATGAGCCGCCTGGTTTGTGGTGTTCTGTTAAAACAGCCCAAATAGCCTAAGATGTGTGCATATGTTTCCTCTGCTTCTCACAATGACCTGGGAGGAAAACAGGCCAGACGTTATCCCCTAAAATGTCCAGTTGAGGAAATGGAGGCATCTAGATGGTAACACGTCTTCTCTCTTGCATTAAACTGCCCGGCTCCTCATTCTACGCTGCCACCCACTAGATCTGTAAGTTCAGGCAAATTATTTCAAGATTCTGCTTTTCCATTTTCTCATC